GTACATAGATAGGGTTGCTATAAGTCAAAACTAACTTAACGGCATCTAACAACAACATCTAATATTAACTACCTTTTCAACTTGAATGGAATAGCATTTTCTTTTGTTATAAAGGAGCATAGTCAAAGCAATAAATCAAAGTTGACATTTTAATATTCAATTGTTTGTTCCAATTTCTATTTGTTCTTTATTGGGGTAACTTTAATTCAAGTAAACACCAGCTAAATTCTGATTATAACCTCATTGATTTGAAAAGAATTTCAATTTTCCCAATAATAAATGAAAATCAATTTTTGATAGAAGCTAATGCTTTCATAATAGCTTTAAAATAGCTGAACCACTAAGGCTAGAGAATACCCTCAATTTGGAATTGAATAGGATAGTACTTCTCTCTCAGTATTAGGAAATATGTGAAAAGTTTTATCAAACTGGAGGATAGGAGAAGGAGAAATGCAATTGAAGGGAAATGGATGGTTTGAATTATATAAATAATATCAGAAAAGTGAAATATGACTAATATCAATAAAAGATAAAGTTCCAAGGATTATAAAGAATGAGAAATGAGAAACTATTTCACAAATACACTCTTTTCTCCTTGTTTTCAATTGCAAAGATCTCTTTGCCCTTAATCCGTTTTCCCTCCCCTCCTGTGAAACTAAGTATAGATTTTACTTTCTGGAGGACACATCTAGGTGTAACCTAGCCATGCTATAGATTGTGTTATTGTTGTTGTTAGGTGCCATCAAGTTGGTTCTGATTCATAGAGAATTTATGTAAAACAGAATGAAACACTGCTTGGTCCTATGTCATCCTCAAAATTTTTGCTATCCTTGAGCCCTTTGTTGAAGCCTCTGTGTCAGTCCATTTTGTTAAGGGTCTTCCTTTTTCTCCCTTACCCTCTACTTTACAAAGCAAGATGTCTTCAGGGACTGTCTTTCCTGACAATATGATCAAAGTGCAAGAAGTGAAGTCTCACCATCCTTGGTTCTAAGGAGCATTCGGTTGTACTTCATCCAAGGCAGATTTATTTGTTCTTCTGACAGTCCATGGTACATTTAATATTCTTCACCAACTGCAATTCAAGTGCATTGATCTTCCTTATTGTCCACTTTTCACATGCATATAAGACAATTGAAAATACCATGGCTTGGGGCAGTCTTACTTTGGGCATCAACTTGATATCTTGCTCTTTAACACTTTAAAGAGGATTTTTGCAGCAGATTTTCCCAGTGAAATACAACGTGTAATTTCTTCACTGCTGTTTCCTAGGGTGTTGATTGTGGATCCAAGTAAAATGAAATCCTTGACAACCTCAATCTTTTCTCCATCTATTGTGATGTTACTTATTGGTCCAGTTGTGAGGATTTTTGTTTTCTTTATGTTGAGGTGTAATCCATACTGAAAACTGTAGTCTTTGATCTTTGTCAGTAAGTCCTTCAAGTCATCTTCACTTTCAGCAAGCAAAGTTTTGTCACGTGCATATCTCAGGTTATTAACGAGTCTTCCTCCAATCTTGATACCATATTCTTCTTCATACAGTCCAGCTTTTCACATTATTTGCTCAGCAGCCATATTGAAAAAGTATGGTAAAAGGATACAACCCTGATGCACACCTTTCCTGATCTAAGACCATGGAGTATCTCCTTGTTCTGTTCAAATATCTGCTTTTTGGTCTATATACTCATGAGTACAATTAAATGTTCTAGAATTCCCATTTTTTTCAATATTATCAAAAATTTGTATGATTCACACAGTCGAATGTCTTTGGATAGTCAATAAAACACAGGTGTCATCTTTCTAGTATCCTCTGATTTCAGCCAAGGTCCATGTAACATCAGCAATGATATCCTTTGTTCCATGTTCTCTTCTAAATCCAGCTAAAATTTTGGGCAGTTCCCTGTCTGTGTACTACTGCAATCATTTTTGGATTATTTAATACAAAATTTTACTTGCAATAAATATAATGATATCATTCAATAATTTTTGTACTTCGTTGGATCATCTTTCTTTAGGATAGGCACAAATATGGATCTCGTCCAGTCAGTTGGCCAGATATCTGTCTTCCGAATTTCTTCTCATAGATGACTATGCATTTCCTGTGTTGCATCCATTTGTTGAAACATCTCAATGGGTATCTTCTCAGTTCCTGGAGCCTTGTTTTTCACCAATGGCTTTAGTGCAACTTGGACTTCTTCCTTCAATTCCATTGTTCTTGATCGTATGCTACCTTCTGAAATGGTTGAATGTTGACCAATTATTTTTGGTACAGTGTGCCTGTGCATGTTTTTCCACTTTCCTTTGATGCTTTCTGCATCATTCAATATTTTGCCCATAGAATCCTTCTATATTGCAACTCAAGGCTTGAATTTTTTCTTCAATCCTTTCAGCTTGAGAAATGCTGACCATTTTCTTGCCTTTTAGTTTTCTAAGTCCATTTTTTTTGCACATTTCATTACAATCCTTTACTTTGTCTTCTGGAGCCAACTTTTGAAATCTGTTCAGCTCTTTTACTTAATGATTTTTTCCTTTCACTTTAGCTACTCTATGTTAAATAGCAAGTTTCAGAGTCTCTTGTGATATCAATTTTGGTCTTTTCTTCCTTTCTTGTTTTTAAATGACCTTTTCCTTTCTTCATGTATAATGTCCTTGATGTCATCCCACAACTTATCTGGTCTTTGGCCATTGATGTTCAACGCATGAAATATATTTTTCAAGTGGTCTCTAAATTCAGCTGGAATATAATCAAGTCCATGTTTTTGCTCTTGTGGACTTGTAAGTTTCTTCAGCTCAATGTAAACTTGCAAATGAGTAATTTATGGTCTCTTCCATAGTCAGCCCTTGACCTTGTTCTGACTGATGATATTGAGCTTTTCCATCACCTCTTTCCACTGATGTAGTCCATTTGATTCCTGAGTATTCCCATTGGTGAGGTCCATATATACCATCACTGTTTAAATTTTATTTGTAATGAATAAGTCATTGGTCTTGCAAAATTTTATCATGCAATCTCTGGCATCGTTTCTATCACCAAGGCTTCCAACTACAGATCCTTCTTCTTCCAACTTTGTTGTTCCAATCACCAGCAATTATCAATGCATCTTGATTGCATGTTTGATCAATTTTAGACTGCAGAAGTTGGTAAAGCTCTTCAATTTCTTCATCTTTGGTTTTAGTGGTTGGTGCATAAATTTTAACAATAGTCATATTAACTGGTCTTTCTTGTAGACATAAGGAATATTATCCTATTATTGACAGCATTGTACTTCAGGATAGATCTTGAAATGTTCTTTTTGATGATGAATGTGATGCCATTCTTCTTCAATATTTTATTCCCAACAGAGTATACTGTGTCACTGTCTTATTCAAAATGGCTAATCCCAGGCCATTTCATCTCACTGATGTCTAGGATACTGATCTTTATGTATTCCATTTCATTTTTTATGACTTCTAATTTTCCTAGATTCATACTTCATATACTCCCTTTTTCTATTATTAATGGATGTTGCAGCTGTTTATTCTAATGTAGAGTTGTGCTACTTCAGCAAATGGAGGGACCAAAAGCTTTACTCCATTTACATAATTCAGGTTAACTCTGCTTTGAGGAGGCAGCTCTTCCTGAGGTGTATTTTGAGTGCCTTTGTACCTGAGAGGCTCATCTTCTGGCACTCTATCAGAGAGGTTTAGTGCTATTCATAAGGTTTTCTGTGTCCAGTTTTTTTTCAGAAGTAGACCTCTATGTCCTTCTTCCTAGTAGTCTTAGTGTGAAAGCTCTAGTGAAACCTGACCACTGTGGTTGACCCTGCTGGTATTTGAAATTCTGGTGGCATAGCTTCCAGCAGTACAGTGACATGCAAGTCACCACAATATGACAAATTAACAGATGAGTGGTGGTGCTATAGATTAGAGTATACTAAATTGCATTTTTGTGGGCTAAGAAATAGACATATATTGGCAATTATATATGACTCAATGTACAGTCATGCCTTTACTTTATGTACCATCATGGTGGGTACATAGACATCTTACAATTAAGGAAAATGAGGTTCAGTAGATAATGTCATTTATTAGTGGTGAGGCTAGAATTTTAACCTTGACATGTCTAACTTCAAGGCTTTTGCTATTTTTATTTCACTCATGAATGAATATTTGTTAAATGGAATATGTATATGTTCTATATACATCATGAATAATGCCATAACAGCAGGGTGCTCAGTAATAAATAGATGAACAAGTGAATGAATATATGCTCAACAGTATCCCAACTGAGCATCTGTTTACTTTTCCACTGTTGATTATTAAAGTAAGTAAAAAAATATAAGGCATTATATGAAGAGGCAAAGAGGTATGTTTCCTACTTCATATTTGATGTATTTTAAAAGTAACATTTAAAGAATTTTGAGCACTTTTAAATTGATCTGTTTTTGTTTTCACAGTTCAGTTTACAAATCATTTAACTCTATTAATTACCTCCTGGTGAACTGCTTTGGTATAAGGCAGATTTGCCACTCTAAATGTTAGAGAGGTCTCATTATAACAGTTCAACACATCATACAGCTCCTCAGTACAGTTCTTTTAAAAGAACATAAAATGGCCAGTGTTTTAATTTTTCAAGGGAAGTTTAAAAAAAAAAAGATTTGAAAAAACAACCTGTAGATGATGGTCTTTAAACCTAAATTGAATACCTCCTTCTGTGGTAAAAGTAAATTTAGGTCAAAATTACCCACAAAATTACTAGGTATAGTCTCTTTAAAAACCAGATACAGTGGCTGTAAATGTAAGTCATAGACTTCCTGCTTCCCTTTCTGGCCAGATTAAAGAGGACATTTCAACTTTAACTCTCAGCCAAGCTGATTAGGGTGAGAGAATTCATGTTACTTTAAAATCATCATCAGCTAGGAACTGGAAACTGAGAAGAATTACTCTGAACAGGAACTATATTAAGACTTGTGAAAAAGATATATCTACTATCGTGTCTAATGCCCTGGCATTTGTTTTCCAAGGGTCCACCTGGCCCAGCAGGTATCCCTGGTCCAGCAGGAAAGAGAGGTCCAAGGGTGAGTAGATGGGCTCCATTTCCAATTTGCTATAAGAATTAGTAACTTTCCAAATGTTTTTACTAGTAATGTACAGTATGTACTTGCTTTGAAAAGCTGCCTATATCTTCAAAAACTTAGGAACACATGCAGCCTTTTTTATTTGAGTATGAACAGGCAGCCAAAATATTCTCTGTGAACATGCTCAAGAAAAAATCATGAAATTTGTAGATAAGTGACTGTTCTTGTGCTACTTGTAACATGCTTAGTTATAAAAGTGTCGTCATATGTAGTTGATAGTCCAAGGTGAGGTTTGTTTGTTTGGGGAATGAAGAGGAGTGGGCTGTCTTAAAATAGTGCATTCCTGGATTACATAGTGGAAAATGCTAGAGCTATTGACCAGAAAAAGAAAAAAAAACTGCCCTGAGGAAAAAAAGCTGCCTTAAGTTTCAGCAGTAGTTTCTCATATTACATGGGTTTAACAAGTAATTTCCTACTGTGTTAGAAGGAGATTATTTGAAACTTAAAAAAAAAAAAAAAAATGTGGATTTTTACTGACAGAAAGTGGTTCTTTCTTCAATGAGCTGGAAGAATAGTGATTATGTGTCACAAAGACAAATTCAAATATCATTTCTATAATTCACTAATCCACTTTCTTTTCATCCTGATTTTTGTCATAAAAGAGTATTTTAAATAAAATAAAATCACTCTAAAATATTACTTTAAATTTTTCAAATTGACATCAAACTGTTGCCCATATTAGGCTCAAGATAAATTCTCACTAGGCCCTAGTTATTGTCTAACATTTCTTTTATTTCTCTATAGCTGATGGCCTATCACATTCCTCACACAGTCTCTTCTAAACCTTGCCCATTCTCTTCTAGCCCTTCAGTTCGGATCCTACTTTTCTGAGGGACTGATAATACCTTTGCATAAATTCCATTCCCTCTCCACTGCTAAGGCTGCTCTTCTCCCATAGCATGACCTTTAGGTTCTGACTGTCCATGAGGTCTCACAGCTCAGCAATCTCCTTCCCTGATTTCCATCTCATTTGGTGTAGGGGTTAAAGCATTTCACTGCTAACCAAAACATTGGTGTTTCAAGCCCATCAGTCATTTCATGGGAGAAGATAAGGCAGTCTCCTTGCATAAAGATTTATAGCCTTGGAAATGTTAATGAAGCAGTTCTACTCTGTCCTGTAGGGTCACTATGAGTCAGAATCAACTCCATGACAGGGTTTTTTTTAATTATTATTATTATTATTCTTTTTTCTTTCTGTGCATTTGCCCAATCTTTTTTCCCCTTAAGGAACTGTATTCTTAACTTCATTTGTGTTTCTAATTTCCTCTACTTCAATTCATTATCTAACTAAAGACTTTCAACTTTATTTATATTTTTCTTCTTAGGTTTGTTGGATACAAACAAGTTACCCTTTGTAAAAAAATCTTAAACTTTCATTGATACAATTTTTTCTTTACTTTCTTGGCTCACTCTTACACTACTGTGTGTTGTGAAATAAAAGTTAATATCTATTCTCCTTAAAGGAGTGAGGGTGGTGCAGCGGTTTAAGCATACAGCTGCTAACTAAAAGGTGAATGGTTTGAACTCACTAGCCATTCTGAGGGAGAAAGATGTGTTTCTGTAAAGATTTACAGCCTTGGAAGCTCTACGGGACAATTCTACTCTGTTCTAGAAGGTCACTGTGAGTCAGAGTCAACTTGCCGACAATGGGCAATTTAAGGATAATGTCCTTAAATCTACAGCAACAATTCATTCACTAATGCCCATGATTTTTGCTGTCTACATTATAAAAAAACATTTTTTGAAGTTTACTAATTACATATGTCATGAAATCTAATTTTTTGTCCTTAATTTTAATCTTGCTAGATATGCCTTCAACATTTGCATTATTGACCATACCTATCTTTAGAAATAAGAAATGTAAAACATTAACAGTACATAATAGGTTCAGTAAATAGAAACAATCATTAAATTCTGATTGTATAATTTACTAGTAAAGTGAAGTAAAATTGGCAAACATTCATTGAATGGCTGATATGTGGTATGTGCTACACTAGTAACATAAGAATCAGTCTCTTTTCAAGGAATTTATAATCTTAGAAATAAACAGTACATATCATTAAATAGTCTAATAGCAACAAAATATTTAAATAACAGATTAGAACAGTATAAGAAATATCTCAAGGCCATATGTGATTAATTGGCAAATGAATTTTACCTCCAGTAATCTCTACAGAAAGGTGCCCTAGTGGTTTAGTGGCTAAGCACTTGCCTGTTAAGTGAAAGGTTGATGGTTTGAACCCACCAGCCACTCTATGAAAGAAAAATGTGTCGGTCTGCTTCTTTAAAGATTTCATAGCCTAGGAAACCCTTTGAGGCAGTTGTACTCTATCTTATTGGGTTACTAAGAGTTAGAATTGACTTATCTGCAACAGGTTTTTAATTTCTACAGAAGTTAGTAGGAGAGAGAAATCACTTCATGATAGTGTGTCAAGGATTTAAAAATAAAGTAGGATTCTGAGTTGAGTCTGGAAGAATGATTTAGATAGTTGTGGCACAAATGGTTAAGAGCTTGGCTGCTAACTTAAAGGATGGTGGTTCAAATCCACCCAGAGGTACCTTGGAAGAAAAGCCTGGCAGTCTACTTCTGAAAAATCAGCCATTGAAAACAAATGCACATGGAGTCACCACAAGTTGGAATAGTTTTGATAGCAACTGGTTTAGTTTTGGTTTATAAAGGTAAGTATAGTATGTTTTTAAGGCATACAGAATAGCATAAGCAAAAATTCAAGAGCAGAAGGAATAATACATGTTTAGGGGAGAGTAACTAAACAATTTTACTTTGTTATTTTTAGGCTTCTTACTCTATACACCTTTCAAAAGTAACATTAAACAATACGCTGTTGCTAGAGATAGTGGTGGTGAAGAGGAGAAGTAAATACCTTAAAGGCAGTGTTTTGAAGCAAAGGATGAAAGCTACAATTCTCTTCTATAATTAGTCTAGCTATCTGTTCCAATACTGAAACATCCAAGATCTCAGAAAAGATAGAGAACTTTGTAAAAATAAGGTGATTTTAATGAAATAATATTATATAATATTTAATAATATATCTATCTGTTATTTGCATTGAAATGTATTCTGAGAATAATTGGACTTCTTTACTATTTTCAGGGCATACCAGGGCCATATGGAAATCCTGGGTTACCTGGACTACCAGGTCCAAAGGTGAGTAATTACTAATGAATATCACATGACTTTCCTGACATTAAAAAGAAGGTCCTTGACAACAGCAAAGGAGCTCTGTGCCTAAGGCATTTGACTGCTAACAAGAAGGTTGGCAGTTCCAACCCACCAGCCATTCCACAGAAGGAAGACTGGGCATTTTACTTCAGTAAAGATTTACTGCCTCAGAAACCCAAAGGGGGCTGCTATGAGTTGGAATTAACTCGATGGCAGTGAGTTTGAGTTTTTTTGACAACAGCAACTCAGATTTGATAGGAATCTCAGAGAACAGTGAGTTTATGTTAACGGAGAAGGAACAACTCAGAATAGGAGGGTGAGACTGGTTGTACAACTCAAGAATGTAATCATTATCTCTGAAATATACATGTAGAAGCTATTGAATTGGTTATGTTTTGCTGTGCATATTATCAACAATAAAAACAAAATAAATAATTTTTTTTAAAATAGAAGATCCTTAACTTTTAAGGCTAATCTCTGGGTACTGAGGATCTCTATCGTCTCTAGATGGTCCTGGGTGGTGCAAACTATTTGTGCTTGACTAGAAACCTAAAGATTGAGAGTTTGAATACATGCAGCAGGACTGAAGAAGAAAGTTCTGGAAATTTACTTTTATAAAGATTACAGCCGAGAAAACCCTACAGAGCAGTACTACTCTGTAACATGTGGGTATGCTATGAGTTTACTTGATTTGACCTGAACAGCTTTGGGTTGTTATTCTTTAAAGCTTTATTTGGGAAATTTATTTAGTTTGGTGAAAGTATAAAACAGCTATAAAGGCCCAGCTCATATTTCTCCACAGAGCTGAAGTTATTTGCTTTATCCCCCTACTAACAGACACATTTCTACAACACCAAGGAAGATGGAAGAAAAGAGAAGGGAATATTTCTTTTCAAGAACACATTTGCTGTTTGGATATAATTTTGAGTATTTGTAACTCTTTACCAATACAATGTTTTATGAACTCATATATGAGGGAAGAAAAAAACCCCAGAAAAACCTACATTCATTTTGCAACCCAAAAAGTAGACTTCTTAGAGGCTGAATATTATCAGTTAATCTTTAATTCATGTTTGATTTAACAATTTGGTAATGGTATCTAGATAGCCAACAGTGACTATAATTTGTTTTAACTGCACATTATTTGTGGAGGACATTAGTTTTTTGACAGGTGATAAAGATGACCTCTATAGGACATTATGCTGAGTGAAATAAGTCGATCACAGAAGGACAAATATTGTATTAGTCCATTATTGTAAAAAGTCAAGGAAAGGCTTATATATGGAAGGAAATTTTCTTTGTTGGTTACCAGGGCTAGGAGGGGAGGTGATGGAACACAGCTAGATAGGTAGAGACAAGTATTAATCTGGGTGAAAAGAAGGGCAATGCACCAAATGTGAGTGATCAATGCAGTAGCATTGAGGAAGAGGAAGATGTAGAGAGGTGCATGGGAGATACAAACAATAAACATGAACACTTTTGCACATACAGTACTGTGTTGTCAGTGATGGCAAACACTGATATATGGGTGGATAGATGGGTGGACAGGCTGAATTATTAAATATGTCTATGAAAGGGGGAGTGTGCCCATGACCATGTATAGGGTTGGCAGACATTGTTTCTACAAGTGTATTTGTAGGTTTTGTAAGAATGTCCAGGTACATAGTAGAGCTGACTGGGGACAAAGTTGTAGTCACTTCTTAGCCACAGCCAGCTACCTGGAGGGAGTAAATAGTTGGACCTGTGGGCCCAGGACTATGGTCACAGGGGACAGAAAGCTCAAATGGCATAACATACTACACAAAAACATTGTTCCACATCCTGCTTTGATGAGTAGTGACTGGGATCTTAAAAGCTTGCAAGCAGCCATCTAGATGCAATGATAGGTCCCTCCTCATCCAGAGCAAAGAAGAATGAAGAAAGCCAAAGATGTATGGAAACAATTAGTCCAAGCAACTAGTATACCATGTGTTCCTCAGCCTATATGAGTATGAGACCAGAAGAACTAGATGGTGCCCAGTTACCACTGTCAACCACTCACAGGGGGATCTATGTAGGAGATCCTGGATAGATCAATGTGGAACAAAACTCAAAATCCAAAATCATTTAAAAAAAAAAAAGGGACCAGGTTTGCTAGTCTGATAGAGCCTGATGGAACCCCTGAGACTATGGCCCCGAGCTGCCTTTCAGGTCTGGAATTGAACCTGCTCCTCTGGCTTATAGCCAAACAAAGATAGGCATATGAGCTGAACATTTATATTAGGTAGATACACTCCTTGGAGAGAACAATCATGGGAGAATAGAATGGCTATATATGCACAGGGAGACAGCTCAGGGGTGAGGGTGTGGGCAGGAGTGAATGGGAGGGAAGAACACAGTGAAGAGGTAACTATGAGGAGGAAGTGGGAAGAGAGCTGGCGCATTGTGGGAAATTGCAGTCAGTGTCATGAGACAAAGTGTATATAAACTGCTATATGGAAAATGAATTTGGTTGGACATAGGGAGGGGATTCATAATGGAGTCTCATCAGTGATCATCACACTGTTTCCCTCAAGCATCTAAGTGCTTGAAAAACTAGGTACAGCAGTTTGAATCAGGGATTCTGGTGCTCTGAATAGCTCACTGAGTCAGAGTGCACCAAACTCAGAGGAGTAGAATTAGAAAGAAGAAAGGGACAGCCAGGAAAAAGTAACAAGATCAGAAGATCTATCCTCCAGAGCACCGACAGGTAGCTGAGAAAGGCCATCAGAGACTTCCCTGGGGGATAGCCAACCAGCAGGTGAGAAAGGCCATCTGAGACCTCCCTGGGTTAAGGAGGAAGACACACTACACCAGTATACCAGCGGCCACACCAGCATATCAGCAATCACCCCAAGGATCTACCTTCAGCGCCTGATTTTATTGGTAACTTGGGTTGGCTAGGTGCAAATGGGCATGTCCAGCACCAGTGAAACCTGAGTAGAGAGTCCATTGGTGCTGTAGGAGGGTGGGCCCAGGGAGGTGCCCCTGTAGTGGGTCACTGACCAGGCTTGGGTCACCTTAGTGGCACTGAGAGGCCTGGGCTTGACTTTATCAGTGATATTGGGACCAGAGATTACTAGCAGGCACTCTCTTGATTCCCGTGCCACTGAAACTGAGCATATCTTTGGCTCTGTGGGTGAGAAGACCCACAGGGGAGCTCCCATGGCAGATTGCAGTCTGGGCCGGTTGGGCTGGTGCCACGGGCAGGTGGGCCCAGGGAGAAGAGCCCCTGTGACAAATCACAGAGCTGGGCAGTTGTTTTGGTTTGGTTTTTTGGCTCTGAGGGGCCTCAGGAGTGGAGTTTTTGCTTGTGTCTGAGCCTGGTGGAAGGTGGCAACCCCTAACAACTGGAGTCTTTGCTGAAATTGAGCTGCAGGCCTGTGAATAACAGTACAACATTATCATTAGCAGCCTGCCCAAAGCCCTAGAAACTGCCCCTACCAACAGGGAACTTCTCTTCTCCCGATCTTCTGCTCCCACCTTCTCCACCAATAACTTCACTCATTCAGTAGAAGAAACCACATTCAGCCACCATAATACCTCCCAGTTTGAACTCTAAACCCTCTTTATGGCAATCAGAAACATATATCCACATTCCACACAGTGATTCCACCATCACAAAGAAAACTGCAGAGCAACCCAGCATACATGAATTAATAACTAAAAAACCAAAATACACCAGCTTCACCTTTGCAAAATATTAAACCATAAAACCAAGACAAAATAACCCAATACATACCAATAGTTAAAGACAACCTCAAAATATTTAGGAAACAACAGGCAACCTCAAATCAATCAAACAAACAACAACAACAACAAACAGGACAAGACATTAGAAGCAAAACCACAAACAAAGATCTCATTAAAAATGGAGAAAGAGGAGGCGAAGAATTATCTGAGAAGGAATTTAGAAGATATGTTTATAGAGTTTACAAGTCTAAGGAAACCTCAAACAGAAACAAGGAGAACACAGACAGTTCCCTGGAAGAACTCAGGAAAATTATTCAAGAACAAAATAACAAGATTAATGCACAATCAGAACTCATACAAAAACAGCAGTTAGAAATCCAGAAGATGAATATCAAAATTACAGAATTATACAACACAGTAGAAGTACAAAAGAGGAGGTTAGAACTGGCTGAAGAACACATATCTCAAATAGAAGACAAATCCCTGTACACCAGGCTGTATGAAGAAAATTCAGAACAAAGATTTAAGAGAAATGAAGAGAACCTAAGAATTATATGGGATGACATGAGAAGAAACAACATACGACTCATTAGAATTCCAGAACAAGAAGGAAAAAAAACACCAAGAAAATTATGGAAGACCTGCTAACAGAAAACTTTCATATCATGAAAGAAGAAAAGATATATGTCCAAGAAGATCATAGAACCCCACAAAAGATAGATCCCAAGAGAAAAACACCAAGGCATATTATAATCAAACTCTCCCAAACCAAAGACAAAGAAAAAAATTTGAGAGCTGCCCAGGACAAAAGAAATCTTACTTATAATAATTAAACAATTAGGCTGAGCTCCAATTACTCAGCAGAAACTATGCAGGCCAGAAGGCAATGAGACAGCATATATAAAACACTGAAGGAAAAGAACTTCCACCCAAGAATTCTATATCCAGCCAAATTTTCCATCAAATATGAGGGTGAAATCAAGGCATTCTCATACAAACAAAAATTAAAGGATTTTGTGAAAACCAGACCAACCCTACAAGAAATGCTTAAGGAAGTCCTTCCAATAAAGAACCCACAACAGAGATCAAGAAAACCAGGATACGTGGCATCAACATTTAAATGAAATCAGAAACAGAAACTCCAAGTAAGACCATAAAACATTGTACTCTAAATACCAAGGAAATCAATAAGCACAGAACAACAGCAACTAACTTATTAGAGGGAATAAAATTCTAGGTACAAACTTCCAAATGGAGAGAAGAACAGGACAATG